GGGCCTCATTGGTGGGGCTGGGTCCTGATTGGTTGGGCTGGGACCTCATTGGTTGGGCTGGGACCTCATTGGTTGGGCTGGGACCTGATTGGTTGGGCTGGGACCTCATTGGTTGGGCTGGGACCTGATTGGTTGCTATGGCCAAGTGGTACAATGACTGTAAATGTTTCTCCTGCCCATGGTGGTGATCCCCATGTGAGAAGCCTCAGTTAGAAGCTGCCATGTTCCATCTGCAGTCCCGTCTAATCAGGTTTTAGATCTCTATGATTGATAGAATGTGTGACGCCTGTCCGTCCAATCACCTGGCAGGGAACATCGAGTACAGCTGTCCGGCCTCCAAGCAGTGTGAGATCACCAAGCGGAGGAGGAAGTCATGCCAGTCCTGCCGCTTCGCCAAGTGTCTGAAGGTCGGGATGCTGAGGGAAGGTGAGGAGCAGCGGTTGATTGGTGCGGGTGGAGGGAAGGCGGGCCCGGCCCCAATACGGGTGTGTTCCCTGTGCCGGCACACAGGAAGTCACCGCCGTGGTATGCGCCATCTGACCGAACGTTCATTCCTATTAGGAGTAAGACTGGACCGTGTACGAGGAGGCCGGCAGAAATACAAGAGGCACCAGGACCCGGAGGACATTGACTTCCCCAGACCACTAATACCATCTGCCCAGAAGAAACTGTGTACGTACCATCAAACTGCCCTCACTAAGGGTGGGAGGGATATGGAGGCCGGCATGGTGGGTGAGAGGGATATGGAGGCGGCATGGTGGGTGGGAGGGATATGGAGGCCGGCATGGTGTGTGAGAGGGATATGGAGGCCGGCATGGTGGGAGAGAGGGATATGGAGGCCGGCATGGTGGGTGAGAGGGATATGGAGGCCGGCATGGTGGGTGAGAGGGATATGGAGGCCGGCATGGTGGGTGAGAGGGATATGGAGGCCGGCATGGTGGGTGAGAGGGATATGGAGGCCGGCATGGTGGGTGAGAGGGATATGGAGGCCGGCATGGTGGGTGAGAGGGATATGGAGGCCGGCATGGTGGGTGAGAGGGATATGGAGGCCGGCATGGTGTGTGAGAGGGATATGGAGGCCGGCATGGTGGGTGAGAGGGATATGGAGGCCGGCATGGTGGGTGAGAGGCATATGGAGGCCGGCATGGTGGGTGAGAGGCATATGGAGGCCGGCATGGTGCGTTTGGCATGTATGAGGATCGCTCACCATGAACACTGTTCGGCGTAGACATGAGGACGAGGATGGTCTCCCACCTTCTGCTGGCCGAGCCGGAGAAGATCTTCTCCATGACGGATCCCAACATTCCCGACACCGAGACCAACGTGCTGAGCGCCCTCTGTGACCTCACCGACCGCGAGCTCGTCATGACCATCGGATGGGCCAA